TAACCATGTCATGTGAAATTCCACGTGTGTGTGTGTGTGTGTGTGTGTGCGCGCACATGATCAGGATGATACCAGCTCCGCCTCATTTGAGTCGGGAAAAACCCTGCATTGTTTGCTACAGGTGATGTTAGCCTGACGTGACAAAGAGACACTGCTCGTAGTGTAGTTGACAGTGTTGGAGTGGAGCTGAGCTGATTGTGTGCTCATAGCTGAGGACGCGGTTAGTGTTGTGTTTTAATGAGAGCTTTGTAGTCGAGCTGCCGTGTTTCTAGGGATGAGTCAGGAGGTCGGTTGGTAGGCTGAAGGACAATTTAACTGGAATATCTTCATGTTGAATGGAATGCCATGAAACCCCTCGCGCTGTAAGTGATGAGTTCAATGTTCCAAGTATTTTAAAGTTGTTCCTCTACGGCTTACATGGGACTTTCAGTTGTGACAAAATTGGCTAATGTTATCATGCTAAACTAAGGTGGCAACAATGGTGAACACTACAGTCTGAAAATAAGCATGTTGGCATTGTCATTGTGAACTAGCCTACTCAAAGCAAGTAGAGCCTCTTCAGCTTAGTTTAAATGATGTCATCACGACTTAAAAATCATAGTGTGGCTCAGTGGTGGAGCAGGTTCGTCATTGTGTATGCTGAATGATTAAGCCTAAAGTAATAGTTTCATTGATGATTGTTGGTTGCAGCCCAGTGCAGTTGTACTTCTACTGACCCACAGATGGACCAGTAGATACGTCTTTCTCTTCCCTCCATCCTCAGCCAGAGCTCACATGTCATCTGTGTGGGGGGGGGGGGCAGGGCAGATAACCCTGCTGTCCCCACTTGTTAGACAACATGCCTATTCTTATTAAAAACCCACTTCCTTATTCAATGGAAACGTCCTCATCCACGTCTTACACGCACTCATACACACACTAGGCTAGTGGTAAATGGAGACAAAACAGGAAGAGTACGTTTTAGACAAAATCATTTGAGACGAGTGGAGGTTGTGAAGATGTCTGATCAGAGAGTAAGAACACGTCATTGGGACATTTTGCAGGGCCATCCCTGGGCTAAGAGTTTGAAATCTATTCGGCATTAATTTTCCACAACAGGTTACTTTGTGATACTCGGCAAAGCTTCAAAACAGCTGGTTGCATCTGTTGAAAGGACAAAAAGGGGGTTTTGTAGACAACGCTTTATATCCCGAACAACGGAAAGGAATCAACAGTCAAAGATCACATAGGCTCCTGACCAGTGAGGGCTTCTTTGTGATACTCAGCACTATGGGCCTCTACATTGATACACACACACACATGGCTGTGTGGGCCATGTCCTGGTTTTTGAGTTGGCCTTTAATAGAACTTTGGGTCATGTGAAAGAGTCTTTCTGAAACCTTTGAGTAAAGGTTGAGGCTGGGTTTCCCAAAGTTGTGCTTGTAGAAAAGTCATCAAAGGAGTTGCATGAAATTCATTCAGGGGAGAGACTATGTTCAGCTAGTTTTTCCATTAGTCTCCCTGTTGTTCCGTAGCTATCCTATAGTATCACTACACTACATGTACAGGTGCAGACAGCAGACCATTTCACACTGGTTTTAAGGTCGGAGAGCTTCCGGTCGAGGTATTGGGCTGGACGTAGTTTGGTTCACTTGTCTCGTCTCAAATACTCACCCAAGCAGAGTTACTAATGTGTCACAAACAATAAAACGCACCACCATAGAATACGGGAACCTTGAGAGATGTCACTGGGACAACAGCAAAGTGTTGTAGATACTGGTGTGGAGACAGAAGAGCATGTATGACCCTCTGTTTAACATTCTACCACATAGCCCGTCTAAAGATGGAGCTCCCTGCTAGCCGTTTATGTAGAGGTGATGTGACTTTGTTGAACAGACCAGGTCCAGTCTATTGAAAGCCTGTATTGAAAACCAGCACTCAGCCATCAGTGAGTATGTTCTGTGACTGCCAAAGCCCCCATAAAGCAACACAACCTTTGTGCTGACTGTTGGCATGTCTTCATTAATGTTGGCAGTGGAGATGTACGCTCTCTCAGTTCAGTGGTGCTCATGCTACTCCTCTTCCTGCCCGGTTGGGTTAGTGGGGTAAAGGTTGTTTTTGACACCAGAGAGACTCCGGTCGATCTTTCTAATCAATCCCATTTCCTTTCTCTTTCTCTCTCTCTCTCAAAGCCTCATGGGTAGTGTGACACAATATGAAAATGGCACCGAGAAGAATCAAAGCAGGGTCTTCAGAAACTCTGGCGCCTGTTGTTGCCACACCTACACAAAGCCCATTTAATGATCACACATATGTGTCCCTTGTTTCCCTTCATCAGTTTGTCCAATGGGTGGCAGCAGCAGCAGGTTGTTTGGTACGTTGGCCCAGTCGTTGAACAGCGCCCCCTTGGACCAGTCGGACCCGTACCCAGAGGAGAACCCAGACCAGGACATGGTCGAGAGTGACCCGGACCAGCTGCTCAGAGAGTGTGAAGAGGCCCTGCAGGGGCGTCCGGCCAGGC